GGAAATTACAGGCCTCTCTCATCTTTTTAAGTGGGAGAACTTGCACAATTGGTGGCTGACTAAATACTTTTTTGCCCCACTGTAAATGATCACAGGTGTTTAACAGGTAGCAGAACATAGGTAACCTTCCTAAACTTTATGTTAAAACAATTCTTTTTCAGAGTTAGGATAACCTAACTGTCCATTTCTCCACTGTTACTGTTTTATTCTCATCAACCATGTTTTATTATAGAAGTTCATGGTTAGGACTGCAGTACAGGAGCTGTCTTATGGCAGAAAGCATCTGGACATCTTTACTGAATAACAAGAAGACAGAAGAAAACCAAATGGGTATTTAAGAACACAGGAAATTGTCTTTCACTAACTCACTCTACTTGTCCATCTAGCATAGGTCTTGGTGTTCCAAAAGCCAGTAGCTCTCTGGGTTCTTGGGCAGAAGATCTTTCCCTTCACCAGCTACCTGGTCTTTTGAATTGGGAACATATTGCTCCACTACTGCATTATGGCTTCTGTATTGTATTTAAAGAGTGTTGAGTTCATTGGATATAAGTGAATTCATTATATAGCTTAGAATCAGTATTGCTATTAAGGCATTATCAATTCATGTAAGATCATGCTGTCACTTTCTATAAAGTAAAAAAAAAAAGATTAAAACAGCAATATATCTAAGACTATACTTTAACCATTCTACACTACAAAACAACATACCTTTCTCTATAAGTGGTCTTTTTGCTATCTGGCATCCTAAAAACAAAGGTATATAGATTCATCAAGGCATGTTACTGTCCAAAGAAACTATTCAAGAAATCCTATACAAGTTTATTCAAAAGTAAGACCTGCCGAGTTTAAAGAAATTTATTTCAAGGCAGTGGGATGTGAGATGTAATCTAGTTTACGTTATTCTTACAAAAGAATATTGAGCATTTGGTGCCATTCAAGCTGTAGCATTTTTCCAAATGTTAAATGAATTCATTTTTCCAACAAAAATATAACACACTTTTATAATATTTAGGTTTCTCTTTAACACTTACCAACAAAATGTATTAATAAAGACCCATAAAGGATAGTTTACAGCTCTATTAGCTGTTCAGCTAAACAGCTTTTTGGCACCTTGAAAGGTTTCATGGATTATTTATTATCCTGGGAGAA